CCAACGCAGAAAAGTGGGCAGACCCCTGCCTGAGGAAGCTCCAGCAGCCCAGCTCCTCCCCCAGAACTTTTGTAACTGTCACCTGCAGCCCCCTGTAGGATTCATCCCAGATTATGCTAATTTGAGGTGAAAAGTCTGGACAAAACCCCACCAGTCCCTGAGCAGGAAAGCCCACCAATCCCTACGCTCCCCAAGCTCAGGACCTGAAATCTCACCAGTCCTACTCTGGAAATCTCTGCCCTAGAAAGCTCCACTCCATAAAAAAATTCTGTAGAAAGGCCATGTCTGACCAGTTCCATCAACCTTCATCTGGGAGTAGAGGCAGCCATTCCTGGATTCGTCCCTCCAATAAATCTCTTCTAAGAGATTGCTGCTGGTGTGACTCCCTCATCGGAAGAAGCAACAAAGAAAAGAAAGAGGGAAGGAGTGGAGCTCAGGCTCCCAAGGTGTTCGGCTCATTGTTGGTTCTCCTCCTGCCTGGGGGCTGTCTCCCTGCAGCCCATGAAGTCAGAAGGGGCACAAGACAAGACAGGACAGGGATCACACACCCCAGGAATCAGCGGGAGCTAAGTCAACTTTTAATTCCAGAGAACAAAGGTTTATATACCCCTTGGGGGAGTGTTTGAGGGGCTCCCAAGAATAGGTGTGCTCAATTGGTTGGAAATAGGCACAGTCCTATCATATGGAAACCCAGTACCTAATTCTCATACAGGCACAGGGAGGGGAGAGCTAGCAGGGAGCTATGTCAAAGGCCATATATCAAATGTGGTTATGGGCATCTGTGTCTAAAAATATTCTCCAGATGAAGTCAGGCGGAGAGCAATGGGCCTTTTTGGGAAAGGAGTCCTTCCTTTATCACCAAGCTCAGAACTGGCTATCTGGACTACAGCCCCAACCACAAGGTGCCTCCAACAGCTCATCAGGGATTGGGTAACCCTCCACCGGGAGCTGCAACAGCTGGAGAAACAGGACTGAGGCTCCTAAGCTCCTCAGCAAAGGTTGGAGTAACCCTCCCTCGGGAGCTGCTACGGCTCTGTTGAGGAGGCCTCCTCTCAGAGCTGTGTGGTTCCTAGGCTCCTATGCCTCAGGATACTCTTGGGACATTGTCCCACATCAGAGCTGGGATACCTTCCGAGGCCTCTGAGTTGCGAGTTTCCTGGACACCCTTCCATCCAAGTACCACCAGGCAGGCCAACAACAACTACAAAACTAGAATCAAAAAGAATATTAAAAATTAGACATTGTAATGGCCATGAATAATCTTTAGTAAGTTCATCAGTAGACTGGACACAGCCAGGAAGAAATTAGTGAGTCTGCCCTCAAGGAGGCTTCTATTTAGTGGGAAATAAAACACCTGCCAGCCTGTAAGCCATTCTGGGAGGAGAGCTTGCTCAACAGGATACTAGGGATTGTAGTTTTATATGCAAGAGGTGGTGAAGATGGCTCTGGTAAATGACATTTGAGTAGGGGACCAGTGGGCTGAGCCCCTGTGTCCATCTCTACTGAGCAGAGGTAGTTGATGACTTAAATTTATGTCCAAGCTGCCTTTTTTTTTTTTTCTAACACAAGTAAAACTTAAACATTCTACCCATTCCTGCTGAAATATCTGTATCCCCTCACCTTTGAATATTAGGCTTGCTGTTGTATAGATTCAGCTTATCCCTATCAACTGTTATGGAGATAAGGTTTTTCTGTGTGGCCCAGGCTAGCCTCAAATTCACAATCCTCCTGACCTAATAAGGCTTGCCCCATACACCCAGCCATTAAACCTTTCCAATCAAACTGTTGGTCTGGCAGGTGAAAAAAACAATCCCATTCAGCTGGCTGCTGTCCTCCCAATGTCACTGCACATATCTTGAAAGCATCTTTATTTTCTAAGGTTATTTCAGGCCCACCATGATCTCTGCCCCAAATGTATGATTTGCTTTTCTCCAAGGAGCCCAAATTGGCACAGGGATGCATGTCCCACTTGACTTACACAGGCACTGGCTTGATGCAGGATGGCCACTGCGGGACTACCAGGAGAACCAAATATTTTCGAGGTCCCATGTTGTATCACTCTGTGACATTTCTAGGAGGAGATGGGAAAGGTGCCTGCACTTAGCATATGCAAGGCCCTAGTTCAACTTTCAACACACAACACAGATAAAACTCCTACTTATAGTCATCTGGAGCTAAAGGAAAAACCAGGGAGGGGAATGTGGCTCAGAATGTCACGTGATTCCAAACTAAAACCACTTGATTTACATTGAAAGTGGATTTTGCTGGCATGTAAATGATATCAATACAAGTTTTGAAAAGCAACTTTCTTCCCCCACTATTTGTTTATTTAGAGACAGTTTTTTTTTTAAGATTTATTTTTATTATGTATACAATGTGTGTTTGCATGTACACCTGCTTGCCAGAAGAGGGCACCAAATTTCATTTTAGATGGTTGTGAGCCACCATGTAATTGCTGAGAATTGAACTCATGACCTCTGGAAGAGCAGTCAGTACTCTTAACCTCTGAGCCATTTCTCCAGCCCCCCTCCCCCAGGTTTTTGTTTTGTTTTGTTTACAGCCCTGGCTGTACTGGAACTAACTCTGTAGACCAGGCTGTCCTCAAACTCAGAGATCCACCATCTGCCTCTGCCTTTGGAGTGCTGGGATTAAAGACATGTGCTACCACTGTGTGGCACCCCCCTATTGTTTTAATGAAAGAAAAGTTCCAGTCATTTCATTTTCCCAATAAAAATTCAGGAGCCGGATGCAGGGGTAAAAGCCTAATAGTTCAGAGAGGCAGAGAAAGCACCCAGCTGACTTACCTTCTTAGCTGACATCCTTGAAGGAAAAAGCCTTTCTACTTAGCTCACATCCCAAAAAGAAAAAGCCAAAATCTCAAAGCTCCTCCTCCTTCATGTTGTCCTATATACGCTTCTCTTAATGTCCGTCCTTTCTGTTTATTTCCTGTCAGCTGGTTTCTTGCCCCGCCTCTTGACCTAGGGTTGACTTTATTTAGCTCTTGGATTAAAGGTGTGTGCTAGGGCTGAGCCCAAACCACAAGTACTTGTTTACAGTAAACAGAAAGCTTGGGTTAAAGGTGTATGTCAGGGCTGAACCATTCCACAAAGAGAAACTGGTTTTTATAGTTCAAAATCTCTGGGTTCACAATGGGATCAAATATCCTGCAACATCCTCCACTTTCTTTTGCTTGGGTTTTGTTTTGTTTTTGAGACAGGGTCTCACTATGTAGCTCTGGCTGTCCTGGAACTCACTACGTAGACTAGGCTGGTCTTGAGATCACAGAGATCCACCTGCCTCTGTCTCCTGAGTGCTGGGATTACAGACAGCCCCCACTTTCATATTGTTCCTCCTTAATTGGTTATGTTGACTTCATTGGCCGATGACATCACTTAACCATACATGCATCTGTTAATGTTACCGTGGTGCTGTGTTAACTCCAGAGCTTCATGGTTCTAGGCAAACATCCACTGAGCAGCATCTCTGACCCCTGCCATATTTTTAATAGCTGATTGCCAGGGTAGATCTCAGATTCTGTCAGAACATTACAATGTATTGCCCATTTGTTTAGTCCAACTATTTCTCACATATGCACTTAATTTTTAGTAGTCTTTTTTCATTTTTAAGATGGAAAAGATAATTGTCATTTGTGAGAATAGAGTATGAAGCTATGCTCATACTCTATTTAGGATGTGTGCTAGTCACTGTTCTATTGCTGTGAAGAGGCACAATGACCAAGGCAACTCTTATAAAAGAAAGCATTTAATTGGGGGTTTGCTTATTTTCAGAGGGTTAGTCTGTCATCATCATGGCAGAGAGCATGGTGTCATGCAGCCAGGCACTGGGCCGTAGCTGAGAGCCACATCCTGATCTGGAGAGAGAGAGAGAGAGAGAGAGAGAGAGAGAGAGAGAGAGAGAGA